AAACACGAATGTATGAAGTCACGTTTTAGTATTAGGTACATCCGTATCTAGACAAATTTAAGACAAGAATTTTAAGACGGAGGGAGTACAATCATGTGACATAATGAGAAAGACAAAGCTGTTAGCTGTTACACTGCTACTTTGAGCTGAAAGCCGATAGCACTTTTATCCAACATCGCTTCTTTTTCTGACCAGTGTTGGCATGGTGTGGTAACATATACAAATGATGACTCTTAAGCTGTTTCTCAGTGAAACTAGAGCTATTATTTTCAGCTTTGCTATTTCCCCCCCTTTGCTCATGCAACCACTGCGCAGAGTACGAACTTGTGGTGACATGCATTCTTTGTTCAGTCTGTCACAAAGGGTGAAGCCATATATCTGCACAATTGCGTTGAAGCTTGACGGGCGGCTGGAACAACATTCAGTTGAATCTCTCCGACCGGATGAAAAGAGGAGGAGCTGCCGCCCGAGTTGAAGCTCTACCTTCCAGTTCTTCAGGTGAGTACTGCACCATGATTGCAATCTTCTGTTATGAAACATTACTGCAGTACTGCCTACTCATCCAGTCCTTCCTTCCATATGAACTTCAGATATGGTGGAGGGAGAGAGTAGACACCACTGTTCGTGGCTTCCCAGGAGGCAGGAGCCCCGGTGACATCGACGCGTATCGCTGCGACATCCATTAGCGCATAGATATGCATAAAGCATCAGAATGTTTAATTGTACGCTAGTTGTTGTCTGAATTGACCTGTGTAAAGATGTCGCTAACTGAACCCTTGTCCAGTACTGTACCTGCCGGTGCAAGTGCGTTGTTGCAAGCAAATGCCATACGGGCCACCCCGGTGCCTAGCCTTCCATTTAATCTGGAAAGAGGATTTTGTGCAACCCATTTTATTTTTATGAATTTCTCAAAAACGCGAAATCTTTTGAAGGATGTGAGCGATGGATGCTCTATTATGTGCACCTGCAAAAATTAATCCAAAATTATGCCATCTGTGTGTGACCTAGACAAAAATGACGAGATACAAGTGGGTAATGCTCGAGTTACGTAGCATGGCCATGACATAAATTTCTCATCTTTGTTCAGGCCACATGCTTTGTTGTGAATTTTTTGTGGACTTGCCGAGGAAAAGTACGCGAGCTGCCGCCACGACATGGCCGATGGGTGAGTGTGGCCACGACGGAGAAGGGGGAAGATAGGTGGGGCA